AGGGGTGATATAGGCTGGGTTGTCCCCAGGTCATTTTCAGCTCTACCATTCTAGTGTGTCCCAGGCCAGAGACTAAGTCTTTTTTTTTGGGGGGGGGGAGTATTTTTAATTGATAAATAATAATTATATATACTTATGGAGTACAATGTGATATTTTGACATGTATATATTATGGGATAACCAAATCAGTCTAATTAACATATCCATCACCTTTGGGGTGGAATGGCAGCAGGAGTAAGTCTTTTTTTTTTTTTTTTTTTTTGAGATAGAGTCTCACTCTGTTGCCTGGGCTAGAGTGCGTCAGCCTAGCTCACAGCAACCTCAAACTCCTGGGCTCAAGCAATCCTCCTGCCTCAGCCTCCCAAGTAGCTGGGACTACAGGCACGCTCCATCATGCCCAGCTAACTTTTTTCTATTTTTAGTTGTTTGGCTAATTTCTTTCTATTTATAGTAGAGACAGTGGTCTCACTCTTGCTCAGGCTGGTCTCGAACTCCTGACCTCAAGCCATTCACCCGCCTCAGCCTCCCAGAGTGCTAGGTTTACAGGTGTGAGCCACCCCCAAGCCAGGACTAAGTCTTAACACAGCTCTCCCACCCAGATCTAGTAAAGCCAGGCACTTGGATTCTCCCAGTCATTTTAGAATGAATAGATTTGCAAATTAAATAAAGTTGGGAGTCATTACTCACAACCTCCCTCCCAACACAGGCACAGAGTACATTACAGAAAGTTAACATTAATCATTCAGGAGCTCTCAGACCATTTAAGGTCAATGTCTGCACCCACACCATAAAGCTCAGCTATTGTTGCTATTCAACAGAGTCTCCCTAATCTTTCTGCCCAGCTTTCCTAGGCTCTGTCCATATTCTGTCTCACCCGTGTGAGGATTAGGTGTGAAATCTGTAGTGGAAAATGTAACAGAAGGATTCTTTATTTTTAAATGTGAAAGAAACTTAGATTAGAATCCCATTAGTAGAAACTTGTCTCAGAAACCTATTGTATTGTTTAACTACTACAGCCCCTTCTCCACCGGTTAATTCTCTCCATCATAAAAGGCTTAGGAGCACTGTAGTATTTTAGTTTCTCCTCTCTTTTTCTGACTCTGCTACCTACTGAGTATTTTTCTCATCCTGAGAAACTTCAGCTCATGAGTGGGAACCAGAGAGGCACTGAGGCAATGCCTTCCAGTGCTTCCTTGGTAGTAGGCTGGTCCATGACTTAACCAGCGAGGTCACTTGTGTAACTGTCTACAAGAAAGATTTGAATTTCACTGCCAGGTTCTTGACATCACCAATTAGCAGGAGCTACACATATTTTCTTACTCTGTCCTTTGATTTTAAAAGTTACTTTCAAGAGAAGTATTTAATTTGGGCAGGGATAATACTGTTGTACACAGGAGATTAAATACAAATACTATCATCACAATCTAATGATACATTATGTTAAGAGATCCCACCATTTTAAAATGTCTCCTCAATAACAATCTGATTAAACATCGGCAAAGAACTTGAACAGACGTTTCTCCAAAGAAGATATACAAATGGTCAATAAGCACAAGAAAAGATGCTCAATATCACTAATCGTTAGGGAAATGCAAATCAAAACCACAAGGAGATACCACTTAGGATGCTGTTATTAAAAACAAACAAAAAAACCCCAGAAAGTAAGGATTGGTGAGGATGTGGAAAAATTGGAACCCTTGCTCACTGCTAGTGGGAATGTAAAATGGTACAGCTGCTGTGGAAAACAGAATGGCAGCTCCTCAAAAAATTAAACATATAATTACTATGTTCCAGCAATTCCACTTCTGGGTACCCAAAAGAAGCGAAAGCAGGGACTCTAACAGATATTTGTATACCCTTGTTCACGGCAGCATTATTCACAATAGCCAAAGGTGGCCCGAGTGTCTATCAAAGGACAAATAAAGTGTGGTACATACATATAATGGAATTATTATTCAGCCTTAAAAAAGAGGAAATTCTAACACATGCTACAACATGGATGAATCTTAAAGACATTATGCTAAGCAAATTATGCCAGTCACCAAAGGACAAATACTGTATGATTCCACTTACATGAGGTACTTAGTCCAATGTGTAGACAGAAACAGTGATTGCTAGGGGCTGGAAGAAGCGGGGATGGGGAGTTGTTTGGTAGGCACAGAGTTTCTGTTTCAAAAGATAAAAAGAGTTCTGTGGATGGATGGTGGTGACGGTAGCACAACAATGTGAATATACGTAATACCACAGAACTGTATACTTAAAAATGGTTAAAATGGGCAATTTTATTTTATGTATATTTTATCATAATAAAGAAGTCTCCTTAAACCTTTGAGGCAGTGGCAAAGGTCAAGAATACATTAACTCTTCCTTATGCCACCACCACCAAAAACAAAATGGCATTTGAGTACCTTCTGTATAGCAGGCGCTCACTCATCCACACATAAAAGCAAAAACAAAGCCTTATTATGTACTACTCACCCTTCTTTACAATGAAGGAACTAAGGTTCATAAGCTAATGTTCCAGGTCAAGTAGTAAGAACCAATGGTAGGATCCAAAGACAGATCTGCCCGGCTCCAAAGCCTGTGTTCTTTTCACTCCATGGTGTTCTTTTCTTCTCCCACAGCAATCTTTCATGAACAGGCTTTCTACTTTGACTATACAGCTTTCAGACTTAAAAGTTGGGCCTGTCTTTTGAAGTAGGCTAAAAAAGTCAGTCAACCAAACACATTCACCACATGCCCACCATATGAGATCCAGGGCTGGCCATGAAATAATGGAGTCATGTTTCCATTCAGCCACTGGCCATATGGCAGGAAAAAAAAACCATACAATTAAAATTTCAGTGTTGGTCATCTCCCTCAAAAGCCACTGAATATCCTGAGCAAAAGCATTATGTCTTTCAATATTCCATATGGCCAGAATAAGTGGAACTAGTCTCATTTTGCAGCGTAGGAGCATATTCATCTTCTTCCTAAACACTCTACCACCATAGTTACTAATCTGTTGTTACTCACTAATGTTCTGCTTAAAGCTGGAATTTAACAATCAAGAAAATGTTTTGTGCTGTGCAGAAAATAGGCACCTCTTAGATGTTTTCAGAAAGATAGCAGGGGACCCTCTTGACTCTACTACGCCTATTGGGCAAGGTTTCATTTTCTTACTCTTGTATGAAACACACGCAGAGGAGTAACACAGATCGTCTACACATCCCCAAACAAAGCAGGGTGTTGGCATTATCTACTGAATACAGCTTAGATGAGTTAAGCACCAAAGAGTAAGCCCTGTCCTCATTCATACAGCCCAGATGCTCAACTTTTTCTTCATTTAATAACATGCAGCTTGATCATAGAACTCCATCAGGGGCATTCTAGGGAAGATCTACTCTAGGTCTCCTCTCTGGGAAGATTATCTTTACATATTTTACTTTCGGATGCAAATAGGAAGTGGAACTGTGGAAGGCTTAGCATGACTTGTTTTGCCCACAGGTTTGATTAAATTCAATGAATCCTTCAGAGGAGCTTCATGGTTTCCACACCAGCAATACTTTGTCATGGTGCAGGTTTACTTTAACGAGAATAACCACAGAGAAACAGACATTTTTTTCTTTAGTATCTATAAAGGCTTCCTAGCTCTGAAAATGTGCTGCTACCCCACACATTTTCAGAAGCCAAGTCAATTTCATAAAGATAGCATTAAAAAAAACTCTATAGCTCTTCACAACTGAGAGTGGTGATAAACGAGGAGGTATATACATATACTCTCAGCTGGCAGAGATGGCGTTTAAAAAACCTGTATTTTAAAAATTTATGAGTGTCAAAATATGACATTTGTATTATTTTTACTCCACTATAAGCAGTTTTTTTCTCTTTCTTTCGAAAAACTATCCCCTTTCATTATAAAAACTCATGAAAAAGGCTTTATCAATGACTATATATGCTTAACTGTACTTTCTGTTGAAGATAAAAAGCTTAATTTTTAAAATCATGCTACACTAGGGTATTAAACTCTTTCTCCTACATATCCTGTCAAAGGAATCTCCCAATCTCGGTTCTAATCCGTTAGACCTATTTATTGCACTTTTACATATCATTCATAAATATGAACAAGTCATGGTCCCGGGATCTTATTAAGAACACCCATTGCTCAAGAAAAATCGAAGAATAAAAATCATGTTCTGATTTTACTACTTCAGTCTATCTACAGTATTTACATACAGGTAAGGAAACACCCAGCTACACTTTTATATTTTGTCCCTTACCGAGGTTAACATCCTCCTTGACCTAGAGATAAATAAAATCCATTTAAACAAAACCCACATATACATCAGTATCTGGTTCTGGACAAGTTACCGTTCCTAAACCCGCCACGCTCCTTTGAAAGAGGATGCAACTTTAGGATAAGACCTACTGGCAAATGGTAGCTGTTTCTGAGGTTATCCTGAAAGCAGCTGCACAGAGCTGAGGGAGGAAGATACTGTTTTTTAATGGTAAATACTGCCCCTCAAATACGCAATTCAAGCCTTTGTTGGCAAAATCTGAGTACAAAAGGATTTAATCCCCCTAAAAGCCAAATTACAGCCTTTATGTTGCAAACCAGGAGACACCTCAGTGCAATGTGTAAGAAAGAATGCAATTAATATTTTACACTTACACCCCTAAAACCAGGGAACTGCAACACTCTGATGATTAGATCACAGCTTCATAGCCCTAATGGATTTGGACTCAGCTCTGGTTTTCTTCCAAGAGAACTATGCAAACAGCTTCCTGCATTTAGCGTGTTGTCCTGGCGAGTCATCAAAGCTAAGCACTGAATTTTTAAAAAGCAAATGTGCCATAAATTTGGTCATTTGCAAAAACCCTTCCACAAGAACCCATCCTAATCATTTCTCCCAATCCTGTAAGCCACGTCCCTATCTTCTCTTAGAAATCAACCCCTAAAACCACAGGCAATGGTCATCTTTCTGAATTAAAAGGCGTAACATGGAAAATGTTTCCTTTACCTTAGCTCCTGAGGCTTGGTCAGAGGAGAGTGGCTTTTCCCCTCTCTCTAGAGCCGATCCGTGCAGGCGAGCTCCGGCGCAGCCCAGCCCAGCCCAGCAGTAGTAGGAGTTGCCCAAGGAGCACGGCGGCAGCGTTGTGTGTATGTGTAGCAGCAGCGGCGGCGGCTGCAGCCCAGGGACTAGTCCCCACCCAGCTTTGTCTTCAATCAACGTTCTTTCTACAGGAAGCAGCGCATCTCCCACTTCCTCCTCTTCTTGGTAGCTGTTAGCAGCTTGCTTCTTTTCCCTCTCATTTCCATTTGAGGGCTTACTCCAGTGGTTTTATCTGCTCCTGGGCTGCTGACAGTGATTTGACTATAATCCCCTCTACCCCTTTGTTCAAGTCCCTCCGATGCTGTCTGTTCCTTCCTTCCCTTTCTCATCCCCCACCCTCACCACTGCCACAGCCCCCACAGACCGCTCAGTCGGCCCCTTCCTGGCTCACAGCCTGCTTTCTCAGCCTGGACTTGGTCTGCTGTTCTTGCTGTTCTTGCTGCTGCTGCTGCTGCTGTTCTTTTGGGCCAACAGCCCCTGGCCGGGTTCTGGCCCTGAGATCCAGCACCAGCCTCAACTATTCCTCCTGATTTACCGCGGTCCCTATCAAGTCAGCTAGCTGAGAGCTTGCTTGCAGCTTGCAGCCTCTCACTGCAGCATTTTTCTCTGTGGCCAACATTCCAGATGCTTCATTTCTCCAAGGTCCCACTACCACTGAGATCTTACTTAACCCACATGCTCAGAAAAGAATGACCCTGATAAGTATTCTTGCGGGGCACAGGAACTAAACCAAGTCCCGCAATGCTAGCTTAGAGGCCTAATGGTAAAGACATACTCCCCCAAGATTCTCACAGATGGGAAAGAATGAGGTGGCGCTAGACACTGCATTTTGCAACCCAGAAACTGAAGGCCTGCCTCCCCCACCCTACACACACTGGTAGGGCTGAAAGGACCCTCAGGGTCCTCCAGTCCCTTCCCTTCACTTTAGGAGGTAGTGTAGTGTCATGGATAAGGGTAGAGATTGCAGGCAGTCTGTCTGTCAGAGTTTGAATCCAAGCTGCCATTACTGACTGTATGAACTTGGGCAAATTACTTAACTTCTATGTGCCTCAATTTCCCCATCTACCAAATGGAGATGATTATAGTCATTCTCCACAGTGGAAATCTGAGGATTAAATGAGATGGTACAAAAAATGCTAATAATAGTTCCACGAGCATAGGAAGTACTCAACACATATTTGCTCTTACTATTTTTAGAGGACATTGGAGCTCAGAGACAGCAAGTGACTTGGGCAGTCAGCAGCCAGACCAGGACCAGTACTTGGTTTTCCGACTCCTCACTTATAGCACGGTCATGACTAAGTCTTGATGCTCTTAATGATTTATTCCATTTGTGAGTCATTCTCCCCTCCAATACCAACACAAGTTACTTTGGAGAAGCTACAGATTAAACACAGGATGGGGGCAGGGGAATCCTTGTTCTAGTGTCCAGGCAACACTGTTGAGTTAAAAAATTTCTCCTTAGGAATCAGTGCCTGGAAAGCAAATCTTCCCAGGAAACAGGGTTAATTCCCCACCTCTACCTTTTTAATCCAGTCTTGCCCTAATCCTCCAGCAAGTAAACAGACAGGGAACATTAGAAATCTAGGGCTGACGCAGAGTAACTCAGCAGGTGAGCCTTGCTAACACACCTTGGGGACCACAGCACATTAACCTGGAAGGTACAGAATTTAATTTCTATGAAATGTTCTGAGACAGTCCCAGGATACCATTTGATTTGATTTCATGTTCCAGGACCAGAGTTTGCTTATTTTTTCCTGGAAATTGTTCATCAAAAAGAACCCAGATGTTATAATAACTCACTAGCACCTGAAAATTACAAAATGGGTTGTTTCAAGATTTAAAATGAGGAACTACATTTGAACCATCAGCAAATACAATTACAGTAGTGAAAGAGGATTGGTCATAGAGCCAACAACATGTGAGTTATCTCCAAATCAGGAATCCTGGTGCCAATGGTTATCACGAGCTTTTAAATGTAAATTTGCATATACATGATGCCAAGTTGAAGAAAAATGAGAAGCATGTTATTAATCGTTGGAAAGATTATGGAAACAAGTTTTTGGTTAATTTTAGACCAGTGGATTCTGACATTAACTCTAGATTCAAATACTGTAGATCTCTTTTAGAAAATCTCTCTCTCTCTCTCTCTCTCTCTCTCTTTCTCTCCTCCCTCCCCTCCCCACTCCCCCAGCCTCAGTCTCAACCATCAGAATGGTTGGTACTTATATTTAAGCCTACCTAGGAAAACCTCTTTCAAATGATAAAATGGCTAGGAATTTGGGCTGATGCCTTCTGATCAGTTCTTCAGTCTCTGGCCCTCACAGTAGGTGAATCTGGCCATTGCTGGGAGGTGCCAATAAAACTCTCTTCAAAGCTAAAAACTGGATTTGAAGATCTTTCTCTACCTGTCATTAATAACTTATTGCTTTCAACTGGTCCTAAAAGACTCTTTTCAGGAGAGAAAAGTAAAGTGTGGGGGTGAGGATTGGCCAAGAGAGAAGATTAATCCAGTTTAGAGCTTTTAACACTATAGGTACTCACACTAAATCTGCAAAGTGTTCATATCTTAGGAGAAATGACATCGCACCATTAACAATTCATGCATCAATTACTAACCATGAGCTTATCCTAGACACACTTTATCAGTGCATAAAACAAAAGTCTGTAAACTAACATTCATCAGTGGCCCTACTTGCAGGCATTAGTACCTTGTGTCTCTTACATTTACCAGTAGAGGAGGTTGGTGGTAATAGAGGACATAATTTGGCCTGATGTCTCTCTTGCACTGAGCATTCTAGCTGGATGTTCCCTGGAGTTCTTACATTTAATAGCCCCCAAATTATATGCATTACCTTTATTCAAAGCCTGTTCCTCTTTCTTTTTTTTTTTTTTATTTTTGTTGTTTTTGTGCACGTCAATGTCCCATTCCTGTTCCTCTTTCTGTATTCTCCATTCTATTTAATAAGGAATACAAACAGCAGGAATATCAGAATAATCCCAGAACCTTTTCACTAAACTTCCTCATCCTTTCATTCCTACCACCAAACTATCTCTTTGCCTGAACCCCTCCTCTCTGTTCCCCTGCCACTTTTTTTCATAAATGTTTCCATTTTTCCTATATGACTACAATATTCCCTACTTGGTCCTCCTAAGTCCAGTCTCTCTTCTAAGCCACCCCCACCAGAAGTACATTTCTAAAGTGAAGAGTTGATTGTATCACTGCCCTGTTTTAACTCTTCAGTTGCTCACCGGATACAGGCCTTCGTTCCTCTGCATACAGAGCCTTCTGAGATGGCACCCATCTACACTCTCATTTTACTGCCTGCTGCAATCTCCCGCCCACCTTCATTGCAGGGTCCTGATGGGGCTGTGCTCTTTTCTCCTCTGCATCTTGACCATGCTATTCCTGCTGCCAGAAAATGCCCTATCCCTTCCTCCATCTTGTCTGGCAGTAACCCCCTACTTACCCTTTAAGACACAGCTTTTCTCAGGAGCCTTCCCAGACCACGTAAGCAGAGCCAGTGTTTCCTCCTCTGTGAGCACACATAAAACTCACAGAACCTCTACCTCCATTTCAGCACTAATTGCATGGTTTTCATGATTTGTTAGCAGCGCATCTCACCTATTAGCATTTGGGCCTCTCAAGGTGAGGGCCATGTTCTATTCATCTTCGCTTATCACATAGCAGGTAGTTAATAGATGTTTGTATAATGAAAAGGCATCACTGGCAGAAATTCCAAAACTGCTTTTGTATTCCTTTGGGTGCCTGGGGAGGGGAGAAAAAGGAGGCTCTAAAATGAGAAGTTGGTCATGGGGTAAGAAACAATAATCCCTCTATTTTTTTTTGCAAATTGTCTGCAGAAAACCATGGTATGTGCACACCAAATTCTGAATATTTGTTATATGGGCAACTCTAAAAAGTTCTGGGACAACTCCTGGTTCCATTTCTGCACTAAATTGCTTATAAAGGAGCATAGTCTGGCAACAAAAAGTAGCTTAAGTAAATTTTTAAAAGAAACGGAAAATGCAAAAGAAAGCTATTCTTTTACTTGCATCTCTATAGGAAGTGTAAAATGATCAATGTATAAACCAAAAACATTTGTCACATCCCCTTCTGCACTCTCCAATCTTGGCCACCTCACCACTGTCCCAGAGCATCTCAGATTCCAAATCCCCACACTCTCTCTCTCTAATCTCTTTGCAATACTGTTCATCTCTTATTCTCTCCTCCCCTGCCATGCCCAGCTAGGCAATTTCAATTGACTTGCCTTCTCTGGCTAAGCCCTCCCTACTTTTCCTTTCATGTCTCAGTTTTGGGTCTCTCTCCCTTTTCTCATCCTATTATATCAGAAAGGAGCCATCAACTGTGCCAGCAAAGCCACCTCTGGGGTGCATATGTGGGCTGCAGGGAAGGAGGAAGAGTGGAATGGGAACAAGAGGGTGAATTCATGTAGTAATAAACCGTGTCCACTCATATACCGATGATACATTTAATGGCTTAATTGTTAGGGTGAATAGTAATCAAGAATAAGTGAATTATTGAGCTATTATTTTATCAAAGAAAAAAACAGAATTTCAGGCATTTCTTGGATCAGTTAAAGGCAATAGAAGCCCCTTTAAAGAGTTCTTCTAAAAGGCATAATCACAATCTGATCTATGTGTCACAGGGTCATTCCCTCCCCACAGACATCCGAGCCAACCCTCAGCTGTTAGGAGCCAAGAAGACTGAATCATATTTGGTTTAAAGAGAGTCAGAGGGTAGGGTGGGCAGAACTAATCTTTCTTGAGAGAGAGTGGCTTTCACTAAGGAAAAATTCCAATCTCTGTCTCATGGCCCAGCACAAAAGCTAGTAGGACAAGGGACAGGAAGAATGACAGCCAACTCTTCCTTCAGAAAGAAGTGTTGGACCCTTATTCTCCTGTCCCTTTGCTCTGGGCAGGGCTAACTAGGGGATTAAATGGAGTAGTGTGAAGCCCCCCAGATTCTTGTCTGATATTGCCTGAAATGTCACACATCTATGTATATGTGCATGTGTTGCATACATACATCCCTGGGGAAATTTTCAGCAAAGAACGAGTTCAAGAAACTTGCTTTCCTAACACCCCATGAGAAAATAAATCTAAGTGATGGTGGGGAGAGGAAGGGGAGGGGTGAGGAGGCCAAGGGTAGAGGGAAGTT